CAGCGGAACAGGACAAGGAGCCCATCGCGCTGAAGAGAGTTCGAGGTAACCTAGTCGGGTCCGGAGGACTGGGGTAGCGCGGGCCCACGGGAAGGCCACCGGGGCGGCCCGGGCCTAAGTGCGCGGCCCCAGGCGCGCGGGGTCCCCACTTTGTGTGCAGACGTGCAGCGCTCAGCATCCCTTCCTACCAGGCTCCTCTTTTGCTTCCCACCACACAGCACAATAGACACCTCGGGGCGAAAAAGAGACCCCCCCGAACAGTACCCCCCCCCCCAGAAAACTAAGTTGCACTGCAAGAGAGTTGAGACGTTTTGAGGAAGCACCTCCCTCCAAAAGGCAACACATATTCGCTATATCTTCCTTTAGTTTAAGGAGAGAAACTAGATACATTCAGAAGGCGTTTTCTCTATTAACCAATGAGATTAAGAATCAAATCATCCAAAATCAGCTTTCTGCATCATTGGTTTTCTTCCTTGCAAACTAGCGAGGAATTTGAATCCCTCTTACTGTCTCGGAAAAATCAGAGAGAAGGATGTACTGAACAAAAGGTACTACATGTAAGTTTAAAACATTCACGCCACCAAATACCATCTGGGAATGTGTGGATATCCGCCAGCTCTTATTTCCAGCTCCGGATGGGTTTCTAAGTCTGTGAGTCTCAAAGTTTGTTCCTTGTGCAAATATTTGTTGAACATGTACTGTGTGCTAGGTACTGTTCTTGGCACAGGTTGAAACAGTGAATAAAGACTGTAGATAGATGTTCTTCACGCAGGATTGCACACACTCAGTAAACAATATACATGGTACTGTGCAAAATATGAAACCACGGAATGGGGGTAGAAAAGACCAGTGGGGAGGGGAGGCAGGGGGTATACAGAAGGTGATCACAGGCTCACCTGGAAGATGGGCTGAAAGGAAGATAGCAGAATCCCTGTCATACCTGGGGGAAGCCTGTGCATCCAAGCAGTGGTGAGGAAGCTGTGGCAACTGTGGCAAGATAAGCTAGGACAGCCAGAACTTTCAGGTATGGTGGGCTAAGGTTAAGGGAGTGTGTCTTGAGAGTCTATTAAGACTTTGGCTCTTGCTAGTTGTGACTGGTAGGCCTTTCTTTTCAACACTCCAGAGGCAGAGGCAGGTGGATTGCTGTGAGTTTGAGGCTAGCCTCGTCTACCTAGTGAGTTCCAGGCCAGCTATGGCTACATACTGAGACCCTGTTGAGAGGGGGTGAGGGGAGGAAGACAGACTTCAGGTTTTACTCTAAGACTGGATAGTTTTGCGAACAAAGCAATGATTGAGTTTCTAACAGGGTTTTTCTGGATGTTGTATAGAAAGTAAGACGGGGGGAAACAGCTGGAGCAGGGAGGCTGCTGCAATAACCCTTTCATCCAAACAAAGGTAAGGTACACGTAAATCAGTTAACTAGTAAGATAAATTTCCATTTGACTTACTGACTAAAGGCATCCATTGATGTTTTGGTTTAGTGTGACTACAGAGTGAGCATAACTGAACTGCCTCGTGACACCAGTGCCATGGGATCTAAAAGATGTGCTCTCAACTATTTAGGTAGAATTCCCCTTTTTCAGAGTTTGGGGGTGGCTTAGTGGGTAAAGCACTGAATCCAGGTCCCCGGCACCTAGGTAAATGCCAGGCAGGTGTGGCAGCTTCCTTGTCATTCCGGCAGATGGAAGGGGAGACAGGTGATCCCCAGAACAAGCTAGACTCAGTGAGCTTTGGTTTCAGGTGAGAGACCCTGCTGAAATACATAAATTGGAAAGCAATCAAGAATCAGCCCCTGGCCAGGTAGTGGTGGCTCACACCTTTGCTTCCAGCACTCGAGAGGCAGAGGCAGGCTATCTTTGTGAGTTCAAGGCCAGACTGGTCTACAGAACAAGTTCCAGGACAACCAGGACTACTCAAAAAACTCAAAAGAAAAAAATCAACCCTGCCTTAAACGTGCACAGAGACGTGTAGAAAAAGAGAAATGGACTTTTTAGTCATTTAAGCAAAAGTTTTAACTGAGTAGAGCATTGCTTTTATTGATGTCCAGATAGCCTTCCATTTGGTGAATTTTGTTGTAGTTGTTGTGTGTGTGTGGTTTATTTTTTTGTTGCTGTTGTTATTGTGTTTTTGTTTTTGTTTTTTTCCCGAGATACTGTTTCTCTGTGTAGCTTTGGAGCCTGTCTTGGAACTCACTCTGTAGACCAGGCTGGCCTCGAACTCATAGTGATCCATCCACCTCTGCCTCCTGAGTGCTGAGATTAAAGGTGTGTGTCACCATCACCTGGCTATTGTGGGTTCTTTTGTCTGTTTGTTTCTGTTTTGTTTTTTGAGACAGGGTCTTACTATGTAGCCCTGGCTATCTGAGAAATGACTAGATCAGGCTAGCTTGAAACTCACAGAGAGATCCACCTGCCCTTTGCAGGGAGCTGTGGGATTAAAGGTATGCACCACAATACCCTGCTTGGTGAAATACTGAAACCCTGTTTTGTTTATGATTATGAGTTGCCAAAGCCTTAAGGCTTAGGCCTTTCTGAGATGCACTTTTCCCCTGAGATTTTTGCAGTACAGTTTTGCCTATTATTATAAATCGCTTTGGGGTTAAAGGCAAGGAAAGAACTCTCAGGTTTATGCCTTTGATCTTAGTTCTCTGTCCTAACCAAATGTAATGCCAAGTAAAATTTATCAGTACCTGATAGTGTGGGCAGGAACACAGGGAATCCTTCCTATTGTTGCAGTTGCAGTATTAAATCCCACGTCAGCAGTAGAGAGTTGACTCACTTTTTAGCTCAGGAATACTCTCAGAGTTAAATTCCAAACTACAAGAATCACTTTTTAAAACGCACAGTCAATATTTTTACTTTGTGGATTGTTTTTTAAATTTTTATTTTATTTATTTTTATGTACAAGTGCTCTGACTGCACATATGCCTACATTACAGAAGAGGGCATCAGATCTCATTAAAGATGGTTGTGAGCTACCATGTGGTTGCTGGGAATTGAACCCAGGACCTCTGAAGAAGCATCCAGTGCTCTTAACCGTTGAGCCATCTCTCAGCCCTGTGGAGAGTGTTTTTAATAATAACTTATTTCCAAGTACATTAATTTAACAGACATTTTGGTATTAGTTCATAATCCATAAAGGTTTTGTGGGTTTTTGTTGTTGTTTGTTTGTTTAAAAAACAAAAAAGAAAAACAGGTTTGTGTTATGTGGTCCAAGCTGGTTCAAACTCCAAGCAGTCCTCTTGCTTCAGCCTCCTGAATGTGAGGACTACAGACATGCATGAGTACTATCTGAGCTTGTCTGAAGCACAATTCTATTGAAATTAGCTGCCCTGGTCGTTGTAATTTGAGACTTTGCAAGCTATGGCTTTTGTGGGCATAGACTCATTTTTTTTTCCCTTTTTCAAGACAGAGTTTCTCTGTGTAGCCCTGGCTGTCCTGGAACTCACTCTGTAGACCAGGCTGGCCTCGAACTCAGAGATCTGCCTGCCTCTGTCTCCCGGGCATAGACTCTTGAGCAAAGCCTCTCACAGTGTCTCACCTACTTGTTTGTTGCTGGTAGACTATTTGTAATGGCTATTTGTTTATTTTATGTACATTACAGATTTCATTAAATCCCAGGCTTAGGATAAGATTTACATATGTACATATATATGCATATATATGTCATAGATATATACATATTTCAATTAAGATGAATTGTTTTTGTAAAGAGGGTTATTTCTAATTATGTCTGTGTGTGTGTGTGTGTGTTGGGGGGGGGTGTCTGTGCACGTGAGCACCAGTGATCTTGAAATCTGGAGGGCATGTAATGCCCTGGAGCAACCTGATATGGGTGATAGGAACCGAACTCCTGTCCTCCGAAAGAGCAATGAGTTCTCTAAACCACTGAGCTATCACTCAGGAACCCTAAATGAATTGTTAAGAAAGTAATATAAAGCTGGATATTGTGGTGCATGCCTTTAATCCCAGCACTCAGGAGGCAGAGGTAGGTGGATCTTTGAGTTTGAGGCCAGCCTGGTGTACAGAGTGAGTTCCAGAATAGCCAGGGGCTATGCAGAAAGACCTTTGTTGCAAAAGAAGCCTTCACTGTTTTTTTTTCCAATGATTGACTTCAGCTGTAAAAAAAAAAAAGAAAGAAAGAAAGAAAGAAAGAAAATAATATAGGAATATAGGGGCTGGATAGGTGGTTCAGAAGTTGCAAGGGCTCACTGCTCTCTCAGAGACCTAAGTTGAGTTCCCAGCACCCATATTGGATGGCTTACAAGGGCCTGAAATTCTAGCTCTAGGGGATCCAATGCCTCTTTCTTCCCAAAGGCATCTGCCCTCACACTCAAACACACACACGTACACATATACACATAATTTAAAATAATGATAAAAATAAATATTACAAAAATCCAAGATTGCTCAGCAGCTGAAGGTATTTGCTATGTAAGCCTGGTGACCTGGATTGGGTTCACAGAACCCACGAATAGATAAAAGGAAGAAAACTGATTAAAAAAAAAACCTGTCCTTTAGCTGACACATGAGTGCTGTGGCACATCTACTCCTCCACAATGAATGAATGAATGAATGAATGAATGGCTAAGAAGCTAATATAGGTAGAACTTAGATTTGACAAAAACAAGATGTCATTGACTCAGGACTTCACTGTAGCATGCTATGCCGATCCAAAGCATCACAATAAGCCTGGTGGGGTGGCATATGCCTTTAGTCCCAGTGCTCTGGCGGCATAGGCGGGTGGATGTGTGGAGGGTTAGGATTGAGATTGGAGAACTAGGGGCAGATAAGCTAGCGGAAGAGCAGAGGAGGTAAAGGTTTCCGTGTTTAACACTGGACTGTGTACAGCTCAGTACAAGATTGGGGATCTGAGCTTGGTTCTAAGTCTATTGACTCTGTGCCCCCAACCTGCCCCACCCCATCCCTAGGGCATTCCAGTGTATGTAGTGAATATGCCTGACATGGCTTGTAACTAAAGCCATTTAATCCAGAAATAGAAATCTGGAAGTCGAAGGTAAACAGGTGGATACTAATTAATGTCTT